AGTGATACTACTATATCGGTTTACTAATCCCAACTTCTTTAAATAAATGTAGCTGAAATAGTGCTAATTTGTTGAGTTTTCAATGAAATTTTGAAGAATATTTTTCAAATTATAATAAATCTGAATTGTTTTCGATATAAAAAAAAGAAAATTGAAAAAAAATTTTTTTTTTGCCAAAAGCAATTGTTTTGCCAACACAAACAGAAAGTTTTTATTTCTGCACTCTTTGCCTGTATCTGTATCTTCGTAACGGCTGGACCCGCCTTTGCCAAAAACTAATCAGCACATCTCCCTATGAATAGGAATCGAATGCTTTTTGAATCATTTAAATCGGTTGATCTGTGCTCTCGAAAACGTTGGCTAAAAATTGTATCCACACATACATACGCACGCATAATTTTTTTCTAAGGTATGTCAACACGTTTAGCGGAAGGCTTTAAAACGTAAATTTACATGAAAAATTACAAAAAAAATTAAAAGAAAGCTTTCAGAAAAATCATGAGCAGAAAAACTTGGACTTTATATAATATATATTCACGTCGAAAGTGTTTACTGAAGGGTTAATATATATCTGGCATTTAAATACAGCAATAAACATTTAATCACGTCCAATTGGTTCACCAGGCTGCCCACGTAACAAACAGTATAACCATAACGATGACGTAGTGCAGAAAAGCAAACCAGTCGAGTTATCTGAGTCTATTCTTATGTTGTTTCGTTATGCGATGCATAGGAATAGAAACAGAAGTATTTAGAGCCGCGATTTCAAAACAACCGCTTTGTAATAAATTGCTATTTGGGTGGTGTGTCAGATAATGCGTCTGGTCAGCAAATAGATAAAGGCTAATCCACATTGAATTTTTCCTATCTGACATCTAAAAAGAATCATGATGATACTTTATACTTTTTCTTCATACCAGGACGTCCAATCACTTTCTGAATATTAAAAAGAAATATCGATTTTTATGAAATTTCATAATTATATTCAGTATGTCTGAGAATCAGACTACCTCTCGTACGCCAAAGTGGTAAGAGTTGGCGACATTAAGGTTTTCCTTTTCCTTGTTAATTCCTTAATAAAAAACACATACAGCCTTAAACTTTCACCCTCCTACCATAAACCCCTATTTCGTAATAGTTATTTTAGTAATCAAATAAATAACTTCCCATAGGGCAAGTTATAGTAATCGCAAATGAAATTTTCGGAGTGAATCCGAGCGGAGTTGTGTCGGAGATTTTGTCATATCCGACTTTCCGAAACTGGTATTAAATATGTTAACTCGTGCAGACAATTACTGCGTTTTTGCTTTGGGAAGGAAGCGGTCGCTTTCTCGTTTCAGGCAGTTTTGTGACCAAGTCATACGTATACGAGTCAAAATAATGCCATTGTGTTTTTTTTTCCAAAAAATACAAAAATATTACTTCAAAAATACAAAACAATGAAATTGTGTTCGAGTGTGAATGACTCAAATGTATAATTTATTGAATGGCAAAGGGTCATATTTCTAACTACTACAATCTTTGGCCGTGAATGACGGCAATCAGGAATATACATACCGAAAAATACACGAAACGAAACACATTTAATCTGGTTTTTCCATAGCCTGAAATTGCAATACTTAAAAGTGCAAAATTTATCAGTGATATCAAGAGTATTTAAGCAGCAAAAAATATTTAGTATATTATTACTTTTACACCATTATATAATTGTGTAAAAGTAATAATATGCTTATCGAACTACCCGATATAATATGAATTCTCGAATGGCAATGGCAGAAGAAAAATTTAGAAAGCAGAAGTACTATTATTTGGTGCAAATATTTTATGATAAATATTTTGCTTACATTATTTTGTAATTTATTATTACATTTGACAAAACCTTACAATTAGATACATAACTTAACTTCTAAAGCGAAGTCAATTTTGAATTTTACGGTTTTTATGGAATCAGTCTCATTACTTAATTGCCACACCTAGTATATATATATATATATATATATATATATATATATATATATATATTAGGGCGGGTCGACTTGGCTGGGTAAAAAAGTCGCATAAGCACATTTGATTTGATTTTCATATACTTGGGATCAAAATAAGATATTTTGCCGAAGAAACCATAAGGGTCAAATTTTGAAAAATCTTGTTTTACTAAAAACTACTGATAAACTCAACCAGTAGGTGGTAACGATTAGTTAATAATTTTACTATTATATTTTTGATTAACTTTTGTTAATTAAGTGGTAGTCAGATGAAAATAAATTACAAATTTTCATTTTTACCATACTAGTCTTTTTTAGGCAGCACCCTTTCCATGCGACCGACCCAATACTCTTCCTCTATCTTGTCAGCCGCTATTTGGAATAAGTTTCCAAGTTTTCTTACTTGTACAGGAATGCGTTTGACAAAATGTGGTAATCTATATATCACCCACTGGTCATTGAATCTGTTTATAGCGCCGTTATTTTGATAGAGTAATACTTTTATGAACTTGTCCTCGGTGAATGCTAAAGCTTGCAGGGAATCGCAACACTCATTGGGTACCCAAAACTCAATGAGAATTTTATCCTCCGATTCAGAAAAATCTTCTTTGATAATTACGATATTTGACATTTTAAAAAATAATAAAACGTTTTTTATTTTTGGTTAGTTTAACCACCTACTATGACTTTAGTTGTCGAACAAATGAATTATATTTCAATTCAAGGATGAATTGATTATTGTAAATTTAAAAAATGTAAATTCAAAAAATGGTTCATGTGCGGTTCAAACCATGGCGTCAACACTAAAAGTTCTGTACAAGTACTTATCACCGAAATTTAATCACATCTAACTGTTTAATATTGAAATATTGAAGAATTAGAAGAAATATTCAAATGTTATGAAAAACTAGGGAGCTATGTGTAAGTGACATTTTGACTTAGGGTGGCTGCATAAACTTCCTGATGAGCTTTACTTCAGTCAATGGAGCGTTTTGGGTCTGAATTATTTTACTTTGCTCCGATTTGCATGAAATTTTGAAATTAGGTTCAAAGTTTAATTTCAAAAGCGAAAACAATTTGAATTCCGCCACCACCGCCACCGCTGGGCCGACTTCAACAAATGTTCGAAAAGGTTCCTAAGCCCTATAAGTCATTACACCGTCGACTGCAACAATAATGTTGCACCATAAATATAAAATCACGTTTTACGATTAGTTAATTCTATGAATCTTATTGTATATCAGACAACAACGAGCGACGATGTGGTGTTGTCAAAATGTTACTTGGAGAACCTGTGACATGTGACAGTCGCTGATGAACGAACTAACGTTTGCATGATGACCATTTATGTGAAAATTAAGATTATTCATACCAGTTCTATTATGAACAACTGTCGCTATATATGATTATTGTAATATACAAGTATGAAATCATCATATTAAATATAAGAGAGGATTTATTTTATAGAAGAAACGATTGTTGTGAAGTTTCTCCAACATAACAACTTGAACAATCATTACAGTCAATGACATGTACGACGTTTGACGTGCGGGAAATTTCAACCAACGGATGAAAAAAGTTTTTTCCATGAGTGGAAAAGGCAGTCAATGTACGGTAATGAGATGAAGGAATTGAGAGATAGTGAAATTTCAGGAACAGGGTTAAGGGTTTGTGAGGTGATACTATTTCGTTGCGATTGGGAGGTAAATAAGAAAGATGTACGGAATTTATTACGATTATTTATTTTCTGTCTGTAATTATGTATCTTTATCTTGTTTTAAATTGTAACCCTGAAATATTTAATTGTAGCACTGAATATGGGTCACATCAAGGCCCGAAATTGTGTGTGTGTGTGTATGTATGTATGTATTTATGGATACAATTTTTCTTCCACGTTTTCGGGCGCACGGATCAACCGATTTGAATGGTTCAGAAAGCATTCGATTCCTATTGATAGGGAGATGTGCTAATTAGTTTTTGGCAAAGGCAGGTCCAGGCGTTACGCAGATACGAAGCAAAGAGTGCAGAAAATACAAATCGAGTTTTTGAGAGAACGAAGTATCCGATTTGAATGATCTGATTCGGAGTATCCGATTTGAACCTGGCAAAGGCAGGTTCAGCCATTTCAAAGATACAGACCTAAATGTGCAAAAAATGGTAGTTTTTGAAAGAACTAAGCGTCCGATTTGAATGATTCAAAAAACTTTCTGCTTGTTTCAACAAAATAATAGCTTTTGGGGAAAAAATTGTTTCAAATTTCTTTATCAATTTTCTTTTTCAAAAGAAATTTTTTTTTGAGTATTGAAAATAATTCAGATTTTAATTTTAATTCTGACTAAAGTTCTAATATACTTTAAACAAATAATTTCAGCTGTGCAATTCAGTTTATATAATTCTTATAATTATTAGATAATGTTACAATATTTATAATAATCTACTTGAAAACATTTAATATTCCTCGAACATTTTGTTACGGTACGGGAAGTTCCGGCAATTTGCCTTAAGGCACGATGCCATACACCACTAGTTTCATCCCATGTTCATTCAAAGAATTTCTGGCATAATTTTAGTTCAGTTGTTTTAAGTTATACAAAAGCTTATCTTTTAAATTTAATAAATATTTTTAGTGTGTATTTGTAAAATAAACTCATGATGAATGGGTTTGCTTTAAGGCAAGTTGCATGAATAATAATCGAGGTTTACAACTATTTATTTGGAAAATAAATGTCCAGTTTATATCTTTCAAACAAACTAATAATATCTGTAATTGATTATAGTGCACAAACCCCGCTCATGTATGCCATAAAAGCGGGGCTCATTATTCCAATATTTAAAGAATTTGTATATATCAACTCTTTACACCTAATAATTTCATCACTAATTTCATACTGTTGATCATTACTATTTAAAGTTCCAAGTGAATATCAAATTTTGATTGATTTAAAAATTTTCATAATCTAATTTTTGTTTATAAAGTCTAAACTTTCAATAATTGGCCAATAGTTTATTACTCACCCCAACAATCTTGCACTGTTGTTCCAAAGGCACGAGTGGTTCTTCGCCGGTTGGACGTGATGCCAAATACAGAGCAGACACTGCCGCCACTCCGGTCAGCGCCAAAGCTCCTGCGCCGCCTCCGACATAATGCAGATAATGCTCAACTTCTTCCACTAAAATAAAAAAAAATATTGGTTTCATATCACATGGTCTCTCAAACAAAAATGATACATTTTGAAGGGAACTAATTCTGCATTATGATATTGCAAAAAAAAAGATAGTGATCCAAATGGCAACCCAATTGAAATAATTGATGATTTAATGGGAAAGAAAAAAAATTAAGGAATTGGATGTAAAAAACATAAATAAAAAGCAACAAATATGAAATTTCGAAAATATTTGCCACCTGAAGTGGAAATATAATAGTTCTAATTAAGTCAAGATGTTATATTGATTAATTTGGATAACACTACCTACTACTACAATTCGTTTGAAGTCGATTCTTCATTAAAGAGAGTAGAAAACCAAAGACTAAAGAAAATTATATGGTTTATAATTAGATGACAAAGGAAATATATAAGAGTATAAAAATAAATTCGAGATATAAAACGAATAGAAAAAAAATAAAATTCTTCCTCATCCTAGATTTTGGCAGAACCCATTATAGTTCTACAGTAGAACTCCAATTATCCGAATTAATGGGCACAGGCACCCATTCGGATAATCAAATATTCGGATAATCAAATATTCGGATAATCGGAGTTTTTTTTTTTAAAATTGCCATTGGAGAGAAAAAAGTTACGTTTTGATATTGCACTATTTTTTTATTGAATTAAATGAAAGAAACATGATATTTTCACATGTTTTAAATATAAATAAAATGTACTTATATACAAGTTTAGAAATAAAAATCATTGTTTTTTAAACATCTCCGTCAATTTAAGCTGTTTTGCGGTCTTCAACAAAAGAATAATAGCGCACTTAGACTTTTTTTGGACATTTTTTTTCTGAAAGTGATTCGGATAATCGGCGATTCGGATAGTCGGAGTTCGGATAATTGGAGTTCTACTGTACTTTCATTTATTGTTAGCACAAGCAAATGAATTATAGCATGCAATTTTGAAGCGCAAATAAAACTTTACTAGGTACATTTATTCTCTTCTACGGAAATTATTTTAGCTACAGTAATGAAAACTTACAAGGTACAGTAAAGAATTTCTTTAAACGGTTGGTAAAATTACGTGACGAATTATGATATTGTTTTAATGGGCGATAATCCTACATATCCAAAAAATATCATGCGCTATGTGTATTTATACACCAATTATTTTAAAACGCATATTTTGAAAGATCATAATTTATATTACAGGTGCAGACACAGGTGTTATTGTCGTTTTTTTTGTCTTAACTGCTTGCTTAGTTATATTAGCCCCAACACGGGGTTAGTTGTAACATCGCATTTTTTCTAGAAATTGATGAATTGTGAAACAATGAACAACAGTTGTGGAATATTTTAACTTGACTCGGTAGAGGAATAGTTACAAGCAACTACTCATCTTTATTTGGTAAATAAATATAATCAGTGGATACATATAATCTCAAGATACATTAATTTTAAAACTAGTGTGGACAAACATCGTGTCTTAAGTCAAATTGCTGGAACTTTCCGTACCGTAACGAATATTGAATGTTTTCAAATAGATTATTATAAATATTGTAACATTGTCTAATTTGTTCAAAGTACATTAGAACTTTAGTCAGAATTACGATTAAAATCTGAATTATTTTCGATCTACAAAAAAAAAATTTAAAACAATTTTTTAGAAAGTTTTTTGAATCATTCAAATTGGACGCTTAGTTCTCTCAAAAACTGCCATTTTTTGCACATTTAGCTCTGTATCTCCGAAATGGCTAGGCCTGCCTTTGCCAAAAACTAATAACCACTTCTCCCAATCATTACTAATTGAATATTTTTTAGATAATTCAAATCGGATGCTCCGTTGTCTCAAAAACTCGATTTTTATTTTCTGCACTCTTTGCTCTTTATCTCCGTAACTGCTGGACCTGCCTTTGCCAAAAACTAATCAACACATCTCCTTATTAATAGGAATCGAATGTCTTTTGAACCATTCAAATCGGTTGATCCGTGCGCCCGAAAACGTGGACGAAAAATTGTATCCATGCATACATACACACACACACATCCATTTTTTCTGAGGTATGCCAAAATGTTTAGAAACCTTCAAAACGTCGAGAAATGTAAAAATTTTCAATTTCGATTTTCGGCCCATTACAATAACTTACCCAACGGGAAGTTAAAAAATGTTACCACAAGACCCTAGTTCCCCTACTCCAAATTTCAAGAATTTCAAGTAAAAAACAATTTCTTCGCCTATGAGTTTTTGTTTACTCCTCAAATTAGCAAGAACATTACTTTAGGAAAGTGAAAGCCTATTTCTGAAAACTTTGGCTAACAAGAAGTGCGCAAAGAGAGCAAAACTTTTAAGTAGAGAGAAGTCAAATATAATACATTTTCAAAGAATGAAACTGTATGTGAACATAACCGCATTTTACTAAATAAGATTCCAGAAATCACCAGCAAAATTTGTTCCAAAATTAATACGTATTATGTCGCCGGAGCGGCGGGATACAAATGGAAAGGGTTAACATTTGCTTTTGAAATATGTATATTATATGTATGCAAAATATTAAATTCGCATCAACATATTTATATCTAACCAAAATCCCGCCTGGCAAATGTTAAATCCTTGTAATTAGCGCATACCTACAAACACATTTTAGGACGTTGGCAAGTATAGAACTGATAATTTGAAATGTACACATTGTTATTTCCTGGCAAATATATGCATAATGTATCTTCAAAGTGTACGATACTTTGACCCAATTTTACACCCAGTCATCGTGTAAATTAAGATAAATTAACTCTATTAATAATCGTCTTACAACAGGTGTGCAAAGCTTGAATCGGTAATACAATTTGGATAATCATGTAGGTACATGTGTATGTTAGACATGCAGCTGGATGGAACTGAGTAGGAATAAATGATTAATTTGGTTTGTTTATTTTATTGGCCTTGCTTACTTATTTAGAGTTTTTAGTCACTCTAAACATTGTGTTCTATACCATTCACTATATTTTACTGCAGTGTCTTTATGACATTGATTCTTACAAATTTTGTTTTACCAGACATAACTAACATACGAGGTGTGTTCAAAAAGTACCCGGAATTACTAATAATTAAATTTCGCGGGTCTGGAGTGTCTGATTGTCAAATTTTTTTTTATTGTGTTGGTATACATGCCCCTAAAGTATGATGAAATTTTCAGCTATATTCACTGTTTACTTTGTCTGTGGTAGTCGCTAAGGTTCGACGTGTTTTTCTGAGCTCGGCGATTTTTACAATTGAAGAATTGAAAAGTCAAAGAATTTGTATTAAATTTTGCGTAAAAAATGAAATAAAGTGTTGCAAAGTGCAAAAATTCACCAGATATGGCTCCGTGTGACTTTTTCCTATTCCCAAAGTTGAAGAGACCCATGAAAGGACGGCGGTTTTCCTCGATTGAAGAAAATCGCTGAGAGTGCTCAAGGACATATCAAAAAGTGAATATCAAGGGTGCTTCGAAAATTGGAAAAAACGCTGGCATAAGTGTATTATATCTGGGGGGGACTACTTTGAAGGGGACCACATTAATGTAGACGAATAAATAAATATTTTTTTTGAAAAAACGAAAATTCCGGGTACTTTTTGAACAGACCTCGTATGCCAATCTAATCAATTTTCTACTTCATATAAAAAGTTTCTTGACTTCACACATATTCAGTATGACAACTCAATTTTTATAGTAGTAATTTTTAACTTTCCGTAGGGTAATTTATAATAATTGCAAAAAAATCGAAAATAAACTTTTTTGCATTTTTTGAAGTTTCAAGATCTCCTGAACATTTTGGCATACGTCAGAACAAATTGAAAAATGTGTGTATGTGTATGTGTTTTGTGCGGATACAAATTTTCGTCGGCTTTTTCGGGCGCACAGGACAACCGAAATGAATGGTTCAAAGAGCATTCTTTTCGTATTGACGGGGAGACGAGCTGTTTAGTTTTTGGCAAAGGCAAGCCTGAAAGCGTTTTGGAGAAAGGAGCATACGATTGAGAGAACGGATTATCCGATTAGAATGAGTAAAAACGCATTCGATTCGTATCGACGGGGAGACGTGTTGATCATTGTTTGGCAAAGGCAGACTCAGTCGTTTCGGAGATACGGAGCAAAAAGTGTAAAATGGAAGTTTTTGAGAGTACGCAACATCCGACTAGAATGATTAAAAAAATATCCGATTCATATTGACAGGTGGACATATGATGGACAGTTACAATCATTTTTTTTTACACAGTACCGAGACTCGAGTTGATTTTTCACGCAAATTGGGCATGTCCACCGCAAATTAATTTTTAATTTTTTCAACATCAGTATATGAAGTAGCTTTAAATAACATATTTATCTTGTTTTGGTCCCTCGATAATAAATAGAGCATCAAATTCCAGTAACAATTCTGTGTTCAAAGTTCTTTCAACATTATCGATAATACCTAGTTTCATGTTTACAAATAGTTCTCTAAAATAATAAAATTTTATCATTAAAGGTTATCTATGACGATATATTATGTTGTTCTAAATTATAAATAGAATGCATTAACAATTTGACGAAGAACTTTATCATTTTAAATATGTCAAATGCTGAAAGATAAACTGGCATATTCTTCTAAAGAGAATACCAAAGATTTTGCTAAAAAAAAATTCCTAGAAAATTCTAAAGGTTTTGCTAGTTCCTCAAATCTACACGAGAGAATTGGAGGTCATAATATTTGATGTAATTGTATACACATAATTCAAGTATTTTCTATTGTTAAAACTTCAACTTTGTTTATGATTGTTATTGATCAAGATCAAATTAACTAGATGAATTTTACGACCAAGTAGTCAAATGCATAATTCTACTATTAAATGCCAGGAAAATAACATGTGCTCGTCAATAAAGATGATAATTATGTTTATGAAACGTCTTGTTTCATACCAGAATTTTATGATCATAGTTTAGTGAAGAGCATTAATATATAAATTCGCAAATCATAGCCAAAACCGCTTGTAAAATGCATATTATCGTCACCTGAGCCAAATATGTCAATTTTGCAATATATCAAAACGTCGTAGAGTTACGCTCTATTTTGTCCTACAAGTTGTAACCCAAATTATACCTTTAATTATAGTATAGTATTTCTTTATAGGACACGCGTCTTGTGATAGATAATATAGCTTTAATAATTAAAAAACAGCACTATTTAATTAGAATTAAGTTATATTTTATTTGCAGAACACAATTTATATAAATACACTATTAAAAACTCGAGTTCTATTTTCTGTACACTTTGCTCTATATCTACGTAACGGCTGGACCTGCCTTGGCCAAAAACTAATCAGCACATCTCCCTATCAATATGGATTGAATGTTTTTCAAACCATTCAAATCGGTTGATCCGTGCGCCCGAAAACGTGGACGAAAAAATGCAGCCATACAAAACACACACGCACATCCATTTTTTCTGAGGTATGCCAAAATGTTCAGAAACCTTGAAAATTAGAAGATATGCAAAAATTTTCATTTTCGATTTTCGGCCCGTTACTACAACTACCCTACGGAAAGTTATAAAAGGTAAATAAATAAATATTCGCTTAAGAATAGCATATTTAATTAAAATATAAAGTGTATATATCAAAAGTTGGTAACCACAGTGAACCATCCCAAATATCTCTGATCACGATCAAACATTATCGAAAAATTAGCTATTTTTGGAAATGTTATTTTATTTGACAAATGACTTACGATTTATCTTCACATTGTACCTAACTTTTTCATTCTTATGATGTAATTTTTGTTAGTATTATTTTTTTGTTAATTAATGTGGTATGAAACAACCTTAGTCACATTAGATTTTATGGTGCTATTTAACAATATGAATAAATATTATTTCATTTTATTATTGTTATTTTTTTCTTACAGTCTGGCAACATTCTTTATTGAAAAATTCATTATATCCTGACCGTATGCCAGGTTGTCCACATTTGTGGGGTAGTCCAATCTGATTACCAACTCATATATACAATCAAGTCTTTATTTAATAGACTTTCTGTATGAATTTAATTTCCAGTATTGTGACTGCAAGCATATTGCAAAATTCAACATAACAAATATCGAATTTTAAAATATTAGTTTTTTGGGTCTATTTTCATATTAGTATCATTTGCCAGAACATACTACAAATGTGTTCGAAACTCCTGGACTCCGTGTGACTTCACTTGAAGTTCAGGATGATACAAATTGCGCTCAAGTTAAATCTGGCATTCAGGCGCAATTTTACACACAGACATCTTCTCATTGTATGTATTTTCCAACACCGAAAATACAATATGGAAAAGCAAAGCATTTTCACATCATGAACGTGCATTTCTCCATATAGCATTATATATAATGAAAATCACATTATATTTTATTGATTGGAATAGAAATTGATTAATATTATTTTTCAATAGTATTTCTAATTTATAATACATACTATATTTTATACATACTTGCTCAATTGAATATTAAGAATTAGTTAATGAAATGGAATCGAAACCTTAGAAATATCTGCTAACCCTTGTAAACTTATACAGTGATACCCCGACATACGAGTTTATATCATCATTCTGTAATCACGCTGTGGGTTTTGTTAATATTTTGGATATTAAATATAAATTCAATATTTATTAATTCAATCATTGTTTTTGTCTGAGCAATGAGTTGCATGTCCGGTTGAACAACTCTCATGTTCCAACTGTTGTAAACATTTTTGGAGTGATTTTTATCCATATTTTAAGAGCTTAGGAAGGTATTTCTAAAATACTGCACTCTCCTTAAACACAGTACATATCTTATTACGATCATACATCCTCGCCAACCTCATATTTTTCTATAATTTTACATTTTAATTCAAGAGACATGGCCCTTCTCTTGAGACCCATGTTTATAAAAATACATAATATTTTGTAAATGTACAAAAAACAAAAAATTATCGATATATTCTCGTGGCTAAATCGTTACTACATAATTAATATTGATATATATTTGAAATGACTAACAATAAAATAATTTACTATCACATAAAAAAGCCAAAATATCTCTGTCGTAGGAAAATCACTTTCACAACTGTTAACAAATTAACATTTTTCTAGAAAATTGTTATTCGCTCAAAGCTCGTATCCCGAATCTTGCTCGTATGTCGAAGCAACGAATCGATGGAGGTAATTTTACAAAGAGTGGAAGACTGCAAAAAAGTAAATGTTTGGCTTGTCTTACCACAATAGTGATCCAATTACTTGAACTCAAATCAAATTTTCGGATTAAAAATTATTTGGACAATAGTGACCATATTTTTTGTTATACATACAAAATTATTATCGATGATATAAATATATTGAATAGAATTACTTAACAATGGATTGGACTAAAAAGAAGATTAGATTTTAGTGGAAACGACAAGAATGCAATATGCAAAAAAACTGCATCTCCACTGATAATAATAAGAATGAAAGAATAAGAAAGATAAATTGGAATAAAAAATTATATAAAAAGATAAATAATAAGAAAGAAAGATTAGAAGATAATTTACGACTTCAGTATCTCATACACACATTATTAATGAGGCTATATTAAATAAAATTAATTAACCCTTTCCATTTCCAGTCCATTAATCACGTGAGCGAGTTTTTAAGGATTTTTGGACCCCCTCCCCCTCGGTGATACATGGTGATATTCAAAATTACCCCCCTCCCCCACCAAACATCACGTTTATTTTTAGGTACGTAAAAAAACTGTAAAATTTTTGAATTTTTTTTTTTGAAAATGTTTGAACTTTTTTTTAAAAAAAAATGGTTAAAAAATAAATACACCTCATATCTTACTATACCCCTCCCTCCCCCACGTAATATTTCGTGATTTTTTGTCAAACCCCCCCACTCTCTAAAAACCTCACGTGATTAATCGACGCCCCCTAATCTAAATTGAAAACTAAAAAAACTAGTTTTTGGAAGAAATGCAAGAGAAAAAAAAATACTGCTACAATAATTTTAAGGGTTGAATTAAGAGCATATAATTAAATATTTCATGAATATACTGTCAATAAAGTCGCGGTACCACTGTATATGCCATTTAATTCTAATAATATCTGGTTTAATGATGAAACTAATTTTATGTGTTATGATGAAATGCTACCTAGTTAAAGTTAAGGCTGTAGGATGTTGTCATATAATATGTATAATGCTACTTGAAAGAATAACTTTTTTTCAAAGTATTTTTATTACTTTTGTATATTAGTTCACTTGATTTAATAGCAATATTCGCTGTATTACTGCTATTTCACACATGTCCATCATCTTACTCTGATTGGTAACTCACAATTAGAGTGTCTTTTCTGAGGTAGCAATAACATTTAAAAAGTGCAAATTGCTTTTTCAAAAGCTTCATGGATCAGAATATAAAATACAATCATAACTGTACAATAGCTGTGCATAATGCAATTTGCAAAGCTTAAAATTGTGCTCTTCGTGAACGATAACGTGGTAATCTAAACATTGAACTCACCCCAAGTACCCTTGATCCAATTGTTGATCCAAGAAAAGCCTCCGTTATTTTCATCCCCGAACACATCGCTTCCGCCCACATCATCCACCATTTTATCAGAATTTTCAATCCCTTGATGGGTGTATCTTATACGCGAACTCTTACACTGGATTAAATACAAAGAAAAAATCTTGAAGAGGACATGGTTTTCAAGACATTACTAGCTAACGCTGATAACATTTTCAAGAAATTATTGTGCCGCTCTTAACGGTCTTTTAAAAATTAACAATATTTCAATGAAAGTTGAATAATGAAAAGAATTACTTGTGTACCGAAACTCGTTCTTTTGGAAAATCTGGTGGTAAAAATCCAATACGAAAATTTTGTCGGCAAAAAAGACAACTAAAAAGTTTTTTCGATTTTTTTATGACAGTTCGCGTCATTTTTGTTGTGACATTTTGACACCACACGGATCGAGGAATTTGTTTTTCGGCAGGTATAGCAATTAAATTCATCTTGACAAATCGCAGCAGACGGGTAATTGGATACTATTTATGTTATTTGAAACATGAAACGATAATGATAATTTGAAATTATCAATGAATTTGAAATATTCAAATAACACAGGTCCACGACTTAAAAAAAAATTGTCTGTATCGGGTATTCGAATGCAATTGGGAATGTAATTGGGTAAAGTAAAATTAGGAGTGAAAGTGCAAAAAAACGAAGAATTTTTTTTTTAAATGAGAAAATCACTAATTTAGAAATTTTACTGCATAATAATGAAAATTTTATAATTTCTGTCGTCTCCTGGCCCTTTTCCGTTGGACACGAATATAAGGCCAAAATTGAGGGCCAAATTACAAAAACGGAGAAAAATTAAAGAAAATGGCAAAAACTCCTCCCTCCAAATTTTCCTACATGATAATTAAAATTTTATGATTTTTGTCGTTTCCTGGCCCTTTCACTATAAATAACCTATGAAACGGTTTTCTGCAACACTTTTTGCATCTCTGTTGAATATATTTTTGCAGCTCCCAGCAGTAATTTTCAAACTTATTTTGAGATAACTGCAAATATGTTTGCAGATTATCTAGGGGCAATGTGGAGTTAATATGTTTGCAAATTACTGCTGGAAACTGCATTAAAATAGTCAACAGAAATTAAAAAAACGTTGCAGAGGTCATTTATTGAGAAAAGTGCCAGGAAAAGATAAATTATAAGACTTTAGTTATTATGTAGGAAAAATTCTAGGATGCAGATTTTTATTTTTCTTCGTTTTTTGCGGTTTAACCCTCAATTTTAGCTTTAGATTCGTGCTTGGTAGTAAAAAATACATTGGTAAATACATATGTAGCACACCTAATACTATTACTGATATTTATAATACTAACAATTTTTTTTTATTTTGTGGACCTGTGTAATCGTTAATTTTAAACATTACATAATAAGCGACAAAACGTTATTTTTTAATAATTCCTACACATATCGTAATTAGCATTCCAATACTCGACGACAAAATGAATAAATAAACAGAGTATTTTTTAAAATGACAAAATACTATGGCCTTACTTATTAATTCAATTATCAAATTACACGATAATACCGTCTGTTACAAATAATTTACTGCTTACATATTTTTCCGTCAATAACATATATTTTGTTTCAAATAAAGTCTGTCTGATTTTCACTTAAATGTGTAATTTATGATAAATATTATGATAATTTTCTTTAACGTCGATTTAATTGGTTTTGGAAAGAAAAGATTGATATTATCAGTATTTAACGCGTTAATCGCCACAATAATAACAAAAAAATGGTCATGGTAACTTTATTAGATATTTTAGTTAAAAATATATCAAGGAAACTTAATGTACCAAAAAAAAATTTATTTTGATAAAATTTCTGAAAAAGCACAATTTTTTACGTCACATATATATGACTGACAAGGCCCTATATTAAAACTTCGTTTCTCCTACCAAATTGCTTATGTCTGACATGGTTCATGTAGAATTTCTTAACGTCAGACACATATGACTGACACTAAATTCACGACAAGGCTTAGCGATAGTTACAGGTTTCATAGTAATGATTTTTTGGATATAAAAAAAATATGACTTTGAATTTGAGGTTGTTTTTAAAAAGGTGTAAATATTTAAAAATATTAAGGGTTTAGAATTAATCTTTTACATATAAGTCCAGTGCGACGAGCTTTTTAATAAATGTTGATATATTTTAATTTGCAGTTAATAACGAGTATTATATAAATGTTTATTGAATTGCAGCAACCGATTTATTGAATGAATTGCTGCAATATAACCGATCTAGCCGCACCGCAGCAAACTTTTGAATTCATAACTATACATTTTAAAAATTGTCGTTTTATAACGACATAGTTTTATACAAATATTTAATATTACTTTTATAAAATAAAATTTAACTGCTAATAATATTCGCGTAATTACATGTAAATCAACGATGTCCCTTGCTGAGTAGAGGAGACTAGGTACGGTTGTGCCACATTTTTCGAACAGCAAATATTTTGTTAATTTACCAGTTAGCTGGGAGAAATGTAAATTTAAACGGTATCTTGAAAATTTGTCAACGGAAATACTGAAATACTGAAATACGATTGATTAGCCACAAAATCAAATCATACAAGAAAAAGGCTAGTGTCACAACCGTCCACACCGGGGTACGGTTGTGACAGGGATCAAATAGGTAAAAATTCCATAAGTATAACCACCAAAATGGTTCATAACGACTTTTATTAATTTATTATATAAATATGTAACACAATGCAACAAAATCATTTAAACAAAGCTTATGAATATAATATAACAATATTTTACAAAACATAATTTTTTAAACAAAAAATCTTTGTGAAATCTTTTGTTTTCTTGTATTGACTATTCCTTTCCCTTTCTCTTTCGTATTTTGTTTAAGTTAAGTTAGTTTTTTCTTTATCTGTTCAAATTTCACCAAAAAAGGACAAGAAATACATGTCACATAAAACAAAACTATTTGCTGGTAATTTAACTACTAATGTTCAACAGCAAAATAACAATTTATTTATATACTACATAAAAATAACAGTTATTATTAAAAGAAATCGAACTAAAAACTTACTTTAGGCCCATTAAAACCAATTCGGTTTACAGATCATGTTAATGTAGGGCGCTGACACAATGCAATAATGGAAACTTGTTCGAACAAACATACTTCATCTTTCTCCTTTGGACCCTATCTCAAAATCAATATAGTTTAGCTGTTATGACGACTGTCACCACCCTAACCTGGCACAACCGTACCCAGTCTTCCTTACCAATACAATTTACGTCGCTTGATAGATAATAGTAAATTAAATTTAATCAAAGTAGCTTAATATTAAAATCTATTAACTGAATAACGAATCTTGTTTTACATACAGTAAATTTATCCGAAAATTCTATTTTCGTTTCTATGAACCACTAAAACTCTATGAAAATTTAAGTAGCACTATTGTAATCGATCGGCTCCAAGAGCGAATGTCACTTTGCGACTGTTTCGATTAATATGAGTTCACATACGAGTTGGTTTTATTGGATTCTGTTCTTATCAATAATCACAAAGTTTCTCATTCGTAAATATTATAAATAAAAATAACATTGACTAAAGATTAATATGTTTATTTTATAAACAAAATTTCATTGGCATAGCCATTTTAAATTATTTTATAAATAAACCTTGATAAATTATATTTTCTATTTTGATTGAATGGAATACTGTTATGAATATTAATTAATTAATTTTCTTGGGAATAATGCTCATGTGTGATATTATTTTTATACGCTTCATGTGTACGTTTATCGGTTTAACGATAACACAACAGGTATTTTTTTTATTTTATCAAATAAATATAATAGAAAACTCTATTATTTGCTATCTTTCTTAAAAATATGATATTCAGAAATATAGTTTATACAACACCCGATATTTCAGAGAACCGGTTTTCAATTTTGAATTAAAAATTATTAAATAAATATAATAGAAAACACTATTTTCACACGCCGTTTGTGATAGACTAAATTTGCTCTATTTCTTAAAAATAAGATGGTCAAAAATATGGTTTATACAAAAACCGATATTTTAGAAAACCGGTTTTCGATTTTGCATTAAAAATTATAAAATCAATATAATAGAAAACTCTATTTACGCATACCGTTTGTGATAGACTAAATTGCTATCTTCCTTGGTATTTTACAAAAACCGGTTTTCAATTTTGCTTTAAAAATTATTAAATAAATGCAATCGAAAACTCTATTTACGCACACCGTTTGTGATAGACTGATTTTGCTATATTTCTTAAAAATAAATTGGTCAAAAATGTGGTTTATACATAAACCGATATTTTAGAAAACCGGTTTTCGATTTCACATTAAGAATTATCAAATAAATATAGTAGAAAACTCTATTTTCACACACCCTTTGTAATGTGACTCAATTTGCTATCTTACTTGAAAATATGATGGTCAAAAATATGGTTTATACAAAAACCGATACTTTAGAAAACCGGTTTTCAATACTGCATTAAAAATTATTAAATTAATTTAATAGAAAACTCTACTTTCACACACCGTTTGTAATAGATTAAATATGCTATCCTTCCTAAAAATATGGTGGTCAAGAATATGGTTTATACAAAAACCGATATTTTAGAAACCCGATTTTCGATTTTGCATTAAAAATTATTAAATAAATATATTAGAAAACTCTATTTTTACACACCGTTTGTGATAGACTAAATTTGCTATCTATCTTTCTTGAAAATATGATGGTCAAAAATATGGTTTATACGAAAACCGATATTTTTAAAAACCGGTTTTCGATTTAGAAAATATTAAATAAATATAATAGAGAACTCTATTTGCGCACACCGTTTGTGATAGACTAAATTTGCTATATTTCTTGATAATATGATGGTTAAAAATATGGTTCATACAAAAACCAATATTTTAAAAAACCGGTTTTCGAATAGTGTTTTTTTTTGAAAAACCGGTTTCAACCGGAAAAGAATATTAACTTGAATAATTAGAAAAAAAAAATTAAGAGATAATTTCGAATAATTAAAAGCAACATTTGCTATTATTGACTGTTCAATTTTATTAATAATTTTTAATGCAATTTTGTAGAACAAAAAATATAATAATTGACCAGGATTAAATAACATTAAAGACAAGTGATTATTCGTTGTTTATGGATACTTTTTACATATAAGGGTAGAAATATTTTTATATTAGTGAAACGAAGAACGGCTATCTTTCAGTAATAGTATTTTCATCAATTGGTACATTTAGCTGTATTTGTCATCTTAAAAAAATTAATTGCTACTAATACATTGAAAACCAGTATTTTATATAAAAAAGCGGTTTTCGAGTTTAATACCGGTCGGTTTTTACGGGAGCCGGATAAAAATCTGGTTGAAAAACCGACAAACCCTAGCAAAAATTATTTAGTATACTAAAATGTTTCTTCCATGCAAAAATAAACATTTGCACAATGTTCTTAGTAACTTTGTTTGCTTATATTTTATTAGTTTCTCATTCAGTTTTATAAAACTTTGACCAATGTTTATATGGTTCTTATTCTTATACAGTCATATAGATATTTGACATACAATAAAAAACTATGGGATTTTTTATTATAAAATACATAATAACTCATTTATTACTTCAACATAGAGCTCAACATTGTCATGTTTAATATTTAACACTTACGGCGATAAAATAGCATCAAAATATGCAAAAATGTATACAATAACTTGATTGTTTTACTAATTTAAGTAAGTATATACCATTTTTGGGAACAATTCGTGTTATTGTATAAATGTCCCCATAAAATATTATCTCGTGAATAGAGTTCTTTAGACATTTTAAGTTCATGACATTTTTTATTTATTTTTCATTTCCATATTAATTTGTTTGTGTTTATTCTTGTGATGTCTACTGGACTTTAGTTCTTTAGATTAAATTGAATGATGTAAATAATAAATTTCTCTGTTTTATAAAAGATCAAGAGGCCATTTATGTGACGGGATAAAGTACAAATATCGTTTTAATCCGGTTAATTTCCGTATTATACATGGAAAAGTATTCTTTATAAAATTAGCTTACTGGTTTGACTCAAATCAGAACAGAAGTGATTCGAAAAATATATTATTCCTGCATATGTTTATTTTTTTCATAAGAAATGATGTAATGCCATTTTCTAAGATTTCATTGTTTGTTACTTCTATAAATTACTTTGTAATCGGTGTTATTTAAAAAAATCATGTTTTCCAGAATAAAGGTTATAAATAAAAATCCTGGAAAAAAATAAATTTATGTTTAAAGTGAAAATTGAGAAATCATAGCAATACAAGAATACAATTCCATACCGAAATATAGATTTAATCCGACTAGATCAAGATGTATTTATATTTCATTTTTAATATTTTGGTCTACGCTCCGTTCTCTCAAAAACTGAATTACCATTTCTTGCAATTCTTGCCCCGTACCTTCGAAACGGCCGGACCTGTCTTTGCCAAAAACTAATCGACACGTATCCCCATCAATACGAATCGAATGTTTTTCAATTATTCAAATCGGTTGATCTCTATTCCCGAAATCGCTGACAAAAATTTGTATCCGCCAACAACATGTACATACACACATATCCATTTTTTCCAACAATAAGGTATGCCAAAATGTCCAGAATCGTAAAGATAAATAAAAATTCTTATTTAAGGTTTTTTTGCGATTTTGCAAAAAGAGAAAAAGGAGAAAATGCTTTCTATACTTTCAGAGCAGCCCTTGTTATAAAATTAATTTCAATTTCTAAGAATTATATTTCTGGTAAATAAAACAGGTAGAGAAGAGCAGAGGATCAATAAACTTTTTCAATTGTATCCATTTTGAATTTTTTTATGAAGTAATTACATATGACGTCAAATATTATATATTTTTTACGTGATTGTGTAAGATTTCATTATTGTTAATGTATTGTACACCGTAACCTTGTAATCACCGGCTCATTCTCAATTCTAACAAGCAACATATCTAGGTATTCCAATGAACTCTAGATTATTATGAATTTTAAAACGCAATTAAACCCAAGAATAAAATTACTAAATTATTATTATTGCTCACTAACAAATATCGTATTTTAAGAGGCTACAAATAGGAATGTTATGGCAATGTTAGTAAAAACTGTCAAAATGCCAGGTATTTGCTGTGCGATCACGCGTTTCACACATAAAACCTAACCTATAAAAGGCACAAACATCCAATAACAACTTTAACAAAAGTGCGTCTTTCTTATGTGCTATTGATAACACATACGTGAAGTAAGGTTTTGTATGTAAAACGCCTGATCGTACAGCAAATACATAGCTTCTTGTCAGTTTTTATTACCATTTCATACAAAGGTAGGACTGTAACATAGCGTTGCCAAAACATTTTTATTTTATCGGAGAATTGGCTTTAAAACGTTATTATATGTATATGTATATATATATATAAATATATATATATATATATTATATATATATACACTAAATGACCCGACAGACGTTGTTTTGTACCCACGACTACAATTCAAAAGTTTCAAATGATAGATCCAAAAAATTCTAAAAAAAATCCTTAACAAACTTTAGAAAGATTTATCAAAATCTGAATAATCGTTTAGGAGGATATATATATATATATATATATATATATAAAATTCTTCTGTAATAGTGTATGAAAGGATAATCCTCCTAAACGAATATTCGGATTTTGATAAATCTTTCTGAAGTTTGTTAAGGATTTTTTTTTAGAATCATATATATATATATATATATATATATATATATATATATTGATGAAATATATATAGTGGCGTCGTGTATCGCAAGGATTCAAACGAATCCTTCGTGTCTTGCATACGTTATGACAAAGAGACAGTTATCAGAATGCACTTAATTAGAATATGGTATTTCTACTACTCTCGAACAGACTATTGGTCTCAAAACAATTAAAAATAATAGAAAGAAATATATCAGAGGTCAGTTGCACACGTTTGTTAAAACTATAATTAATGAATATAGTGACTGTATCAACTACTATTTTAATTACACAGATCTAAAAATGATTAATCTGAATATCTAATGAAAGATATTTATAACGATTTTTAATATCTCGTTTATGATCGTTACATAATTAAAACTGTGTATACTTTCAAAAATTTGTGTCGAGATTTACTCAGCTGAGCAAACACTACTTGGCGCCCATGTGCGTGAAAAAACGACTGCATGGAAAAAATACATGATACACATTATATTTATTGAAAATTAATATAATGAGAGTTATCATTTGCAACAATAATTATAATAACATAAACATTAAAAATTCGTTCATTGAAACTCGCCTAGAATTGTTTAATCACTAATATATAGCCATAACTAATAAATGCAATCACTAATAAGTGTTATAAATAATTAATTATAATAAAGCATACTATGTAGTATTATATTAGGTTGGCAA